TGTTGTCGCGCAGGCTGGGAGCTCGCGCGCACGCCGCCGGGTGATCGCAGGCAGGCAGGCAGGTAGCTGAAAAAAAACCCTCTGGGGTCTTTGGGGCCTTTCTGGTCTGTTGTCGCTCAGGCTGGGGGCTCCCACGCAGGCCGAGAGTTCGCGCGCACGCCGCCGGGTGATCGCAGGCAGGCAGGCAGGCAGGAAGCTGAAAAAAACCCCTCTGGGGTCTTTGGGGCCTTCCTCAGGAAAAGTCTTTCTTAATGGGACTCCAGTAGCACAGGAGATATCAAGAATCAACAAATAGGGCTAAACCAAAGTTAAGAAATTTCTGCACAGCAAAAGAAATAACAGAGGGAATAGAAAACTTACAGAATGGGAGAAAAGTTTTGCCAGCTACTCTTCTGAGAGAAGACTACTCTTGAGAATATATGAAGATCTCAAAACAATTAATGCCAGGAAAAAATCCACCCAGTTGCAAAATAGGACTCCAGTAGCACAGGAGATATCAAGAATCAACAAATAGGGCTAAACCAAAGTTAAGAAATTTCTGCACAGCAAAAGAAATAACAGAGGGAAGAGAAAACTTACAGAATGGGAGAAAAGTTTTGCCAGCTACTCTTCTGAGAGAAGAGTACTCTTGAGAATATATGAAGATCTCAAAACAATTAATGCCAGGAAAAAATCCACCCAGTTGCAAAATGAACTGAATAGACACTTCTCCAAAGGTGTGTAGGTCCGGGGGACTTAGCTCCGTGGCACCATGCCTGCCTGACAAGCACAAGGTCCTGAGTTCAGTCCCTCCTCCCCCCCTAAAAGATGTACAAATAGAAAAATGTTTAACTTCTTTAATTGTCAGAGAATTGCAAATCAAAGCTATTTTCAGTTTCCATGTGACCTCATCAAAATAGCTACGATTAGGAATAAAAAAACCCCAAACCAAACCAAAACAATAACAACAACAACAACAACAACAACAAAAACAAACACAAAGGCTGCTTTGTATACAGGGAAGAAAGAACCGTCCTAGATTGTTGGCGAGAAGTGTCTCCCTATATAAATCATCGTGGAGAGTCTTTAAAAAGTTAAACCATCCCGAATGTTTGACTCAGTTCCTCCTCTTCTGGGCATATTTTGGAAAGAATTAAGAACAGAATACTGTAGTGATGCTCGATTATCCAAGTTTGTAGCAGGGCAGTTCACAGTGTCTAAGCTGTGGAAGCTGTATTCCCATGAACGCATGCATGGTTAAAATGTGGTGCACACACCCTGTCTAGTACTCTGCCTCGGAGAAGAATGAAGTCATGTCTTCTGCAGAAAAACGCATGCAGTGAGGGACCAGCATGTGAGGAGAAATGAGCCAGGCTCAAAAGCTTAAGTATTGAAGGATTACTCTGTGAGCTACGTAGGCGATGGATAGATAGATGCTAGATAGATAGATAGATAGATAGAGACGGGAGATGATGGAAAGTAGGAGATAGGCTCTTGGAGAGGGGAAAGGGGATAAGGTGGAGAGGGCGGGAAAGAAAGGAAAGGTCCTGAAACTGAAAATGAGAAAGACGTCATAAATGCATGTATCAATTTCTCAAAGTGAGCCTCTCCACTATGCATTACGAGCATACTCTTATAATAGACAACTATGAAAATTATTACACGTGGATTTATCAAAACATTATTAATAAATTGATCTGTCTCCATTGTAGACACCGTTCAACATTAGTTTTCTCAAGGTTCAGCCTTCCCTGATTAATACAGCTTAGAAATGTATTATAAACATACTATACAGTACCACTTTATAAGATAACACACTACATCTGCTGCTACAACAATGACATTTATGAGACAGTGCTTCTTGACATCTTGATGTATAAATTCCCACAGTAGAGTGCTACTAATTGTATTCTATTGATTTGAGATTTATTATAGGAATAAAACATAGTTTAAAAAAACTAAAGTTTACAAGTCATCAGTTACAGTTTTGTAAATTCGGCATTGCCAAGTGTGGGACTGAGACTACTTCCATAGCCCTCTGGGTGAGCATCCCTCCCACAGACGCTTCTGCTCTCACCATCTGCGGTTATTTGGTCACCTGAGAGAGGATGCTATCTTGAGTGAAAGCAGACTGCTATTTTCAGCCTACCGAATGTCAGGAGAGTATTTATGAGTCCCAGTAGTTGGTGTTTCACCAACCAATGTACATCTAAATGGTTATTTGCTAATGACAGTAGCATAAACACAAACACATCAACACACACACACATATACAATGTATTATTTTAGGAATTTTTCTCAACTGTTTCTCATTATGTCTTTTTTCTGTGTGTCCGAGCTTCCATCCCAGATATAAGCCATTGATTTCACTGAGATTGCTTAATCAATACAGACAGATAAGCCAAGTTTGGATTGGAATCAATTACTCCTCTTATAGAACATGTTTCAGTTGTTTGTGTGTGTGTGTGTGTGTGTGTGTGTGTGTGTGTAGCAAGGTTAGGAGGATGGATATAATAATGTGTCATGTATTATTATCTAGTATTCTATGCATAAATCAGGTCTCTTTCTACATATTTTAAACTTTGGGTTTACTAAATTCTAAACAACTATACTTAATAAAGTTGCAACTATAATGACTGGCAAGCAAAATACAATCAGCATCCTGAAATGAAACTTTATACTTATATATACCTTACTTATTCTGAACAGAAAGCAAAAATTCTCCTGGGAATAACTTTTAACCTTCAACCTTCTAAAGGAATTATACTCATTGAAGCCAGGCATGGTGGTGCATGCTTGTAATCCCAGCACTCAGGAGGCTGAGGCAGGAGGATCCCTGTGAGTTCAAGACCGGCCTGAGTTACACAGTGACTTCCATGGCAGTCTGAACTACACTGCGAGACCCTGTCTCAAAAAAAAAAAAAAAAAAAAAAAAAAAAAAAAAAGAAGTAAATCTGTACTTATCACCCTCAACTCCAGGTATTTTTTCACTAACTGTTTCCTAAGAAAGTAAAGGTCAGTACTATGCAAATAATGTCCTAAAGTTAAAATCTAGGAACACTGTCAGATCTGGTGTTTTCCATCAAGGCTTATTTCCTCTTACTTCTCAAAATCCTTGCAATTCACCAAGAATTCTCATGAAAGTATCTTTGTCTATTAAACACTTTGTTAATTAACCCTGTTTTTGACTCTATCAAGCTTCTAAGGAAGATGATAATAGTCTCCTTAGTGATCTCCATGACTGGCTTCCCGTCTCTCCACTCCAATATCCACACTATATACACAGATATGTTTAGCACATCACTTGAATCATTTCATCTTTCACCCCAAATGGAGAAAGTCCCAATATCATTTATAAAAAACCACCATGATGAGAGAAATAAATTTGGAGTGACATGATTAAAATGTTGAAGCCTCAAATTTCGAAGAAAAGATTAAGTACTATAAGGTATGGAAAACATTGTGCATCATCAGAGACTTACTTTAGGTAAAGGTTTGGCAGGTTTGCAGTGCAGTCCTCCAACAAACTCAAAATTAGGCAAGAACGGGCGAGGAAATTCAAAATCCCAGTATGTCCGCATTAGCCAAATTTCGGCTTTGCTCATAGTCTCACATAATGTAGTGGGTTTGCCTGAGAAAATGAAATTTGGATGGAGAAAATTAGCACACATAGTTACTGAGGGAAACAATTAGAAATAATTTCATTGTAAGCCATTACAGAGAAAAAATTAGGTCTTCTAGAATAATTAAATATTAAAATGTTGGAGGAGAAGGAGAGCAAGAAGAGTGGGAGAGGGAGGATGGGATGTGGCCAAAGAAGGAGAAGGACAGGATTAAGGGCAGTGAAAGAAAAATATGCATAATTTAATAATAGTAACACTTCCTACACTTACACCTACAACTACAGCTACTGAAAAGTTTAACACTACATATTCCTCTCTAATTAAATGGCAGAGACTAGATTAGCTCCGTCACATAAGCCACAAGTCACCTCTCATGGACTTTTCAGTCTCCATTCAGGAGCATGCATTCGCTTACAGCTTTGGCTCTCTGTGATCACACACAGCATGGAAGGATCTAACCAAACGCAGTCCACCATGTTTTCTTGAGTCAAATCTCATCTCCTAGACTGATTTGTCATGATTTTCTCAGTAAGAATAAGAATTGCTTCTCTAATTCAGAGCCAGTGTGAGCCCCTTGGGAATATGAGATGCATGCAGAGACATCACTAATATTACATCCTCACTGTTACTGTTAATCCATGTTTTTGAAAAGGACACATCCTGGGTATTAGTTTCACAGTTCTGAGAAGAAGAATGTGTGTTTGTAAGTAATAAAAGGAACTATTCCTATACTTAAAAAAAATTTTCCAAACTAAAAAAAGAAAACTTCAAACAAGAATCCTTTCTTCCTTGTGGTTGTGTTAGGAATGCTGATGATCATATACAGTAAGGACAGATGGCCTTTTCTTGCACTCATCACTTAATAATTCTTGAATATATGTGTAAATTTACACAGTCTAATACATTAACTTGATAACTAAGAAGTGTTGCCCACCAATACTTAGCTTGAAATTATAAAAGATTGAATGAAGAAATCCACCTTATATTTCCACAGTAAATCACTCATGCCATTCAGAAACCTTATTTCAAGTGTGCCACTTCCTGCCTTGATTGCTAATGCTTTCTCTACATTTTATGTGCATAAACTTTAAGTGAAATTTTAAGAATGTTCTTGTTCAAAGTATTCATTAAAATTTCATATTTAAAGCACTAATTCACAGTTGCAAATATGAAGTCAATATGACCTAAAACAGTTAAGTTTAACTAAAGATACAAAAAATAATTTCACAAGACATTTTAAAGATTATACTTAGGAATTAAAAAAATACTAAATTAAAATGTATCATTAATTATCTTTATATTATTTGCATAATAGAGTACATAGCTATATATAATTATATTTTATAGAATTTTATTTTACATGATTACATTTACATGCATATTTATATATATAGTATGATTTAAATATTCATTATTTTAGCTTTAAATTATACCCTTAGAAATGAATTTCTGTAGTATTCACATGGAATAGTTTTAAATACAGTGGAAAAGTATGTATAATTATATTTATATAATGATATTTTATATAAATAATATACAATTAAATACTTGTATTTAAATTTGAGCTATTAGATATTGTTTGAATCCATTATTTTAAGGCTACATGATTACTTTAAGGAAATAGATTTTAATTAAAAAATCATGGTAGTAACTTGAATGTATAGACACATTACCTACTGTAATCAGTAGAGATGAGTAGAATTTACTAGCCTACAGTTATTAATCTTACAGGAGTATGTCATGATAGCGAGACTGATACAGATAGACAGCTACCTATCCCAACCTGTATAGGTATTAAGTCATTTCAAACATCATCTGAGAAAATTAATATGTAAAATCTCAAATTTTAAAAAGTAAAATGTGTGTTCTTCATGTCACCTTCACCTTCCCTGAGGGTATAATAAAAATAAACTTGTCGAAATATATGGGCAAAAAGAACTCATAAGAAACATGACAGCAATAAAACAAGTACGTGTCTTGATACCTGGAGGATTAGTGAGCAGAATTTACTTAAGAATGTTTTAGGAAAAAATAACTTTAGTATATTTATTATAGTGCTTTGTTGCCTTTTTTTTTTTTTTTTTTTTGTACCTGGGATCGAACTCTGGACCTTTTCCTTGCAAGGCAGGCGGTGGAATCACTGACCTAAATCCCCGGCCCAGGCCCAGTGCTTATTATTATTTATTGCAGTTTATACTGTAGTGTCAATTTCATGTGAGGTAAGCTCACACCAGAATAAAGACAATCGCTGATATTAATGATATGGGCACATTCTACAAATATTTGAGGGTAAAATTGAATTTCCTGTGAAATAGTTTATGTACTGTGAGAAAAACAGTTGGATAAACAATGACCCAAGTATTTATTACCTTAGTTACTGGAAAAACTGAGTTCCACTGAATAAAATAAGAAATACCTCCAGGATATGTTTGGGGTCAGATAAGAAAAATTTAAATACAACTAAATATCCAAATGGCAACATAAACTGCACAGGTGAATTTATAGGTGGGTTGAATATGGGAGCCAGAGCTGGGCGTGGTGGTGCACGCCTGTAATCCCAGCACTCGGGAGGCTGAGACAGGAGGATCGCTGTGAGTTCGAGACCTGCCTGGGCTAAGTAGTGAGTTCCAGGTCAGTCTCAAGTACCTAGTGAGACACTGTTTCAAAAAACCAAAAAAACAAAACAAAAACAAACAAAAAAAGAATATGGGAGCCAGATCACAGGGAAATGCATATGTAATTATTTGGATTCAAATAGTAATTAAAGCCATTTCATTTTTTGAGAAAGTCAAATAAATAGTTTCACATGAACAACTTATAGAATCCCCCCCTGAAAATAAAAAGGGTCACTTGTAATGTAATAGGTACCTATGCTTGGGTTAAGGTAATTATCCAATGCATTCTTTTTTTTTCTTTCTTTTCTTTCTTTTTTTTTTTTTATATTAGGGATCAAATTCGGGACCTTATGCATGTGAGGAAGGCGGCAGAACCACTGAACTAAATCCCTGGTACTTCCAATGCATTCTGAAGGGATAAATAAATTTAAATGTTTAACATTCGTGCCAGAAGAAGGAAAGAAAATGTTTAAAGCTAAGAAAATTTAAATAGGTGATAAAATTGTTAAAAAGCTATTATTAAAATACAAGGAAAAATGAAAAATCAATTTTACTACAAAAAGATGTCATTTCCCCAGAAGTTATTAGTTAACTGAATTTAGTAATATTTTATAAAAGATATGAACAAGTTAGATTTGTCATAAGAATAAGAAAAATAAAAATTTAATTTAAAACAATTAAATTAAATGGTTTATCTTAATAAGAAAAAGAAAAATGCTATGGTCATTTAAAGCGATAAAATATTCAATATTTGTGGATAATTTTAGTGGTATTTACTCCATATTTTACATGGTATTATTAAATTAGAAATGAACGAAAATCTCTCTTACTAACAAAAGAAGCAACAAAATTAAAAAATAAATATTTCATCTTGAAATATTGTGAATATTCTCATCAGCACGAGAAAAGTCAAAGGTATGTATTAAATGCTTGTTAATTTAAGTGTATTTTATAAACTACTACAGTTAAATAAGAAAAAAATATATATCCCAGCAAAGAAGAGCTAGGAAAGCTGTTATTAATCTACCTACTATCTTTCTATTCATCTACTGATGCTTTGTTATGTAGCAAATGTAAAAGAATGGACACATAAAATCTTACTTGCTGTGAGAGGAAAATGGAACTAATTAGATACTAAAAATCAGTGACTCTTTGAAATGAATGAAACAAAGCTCAGATCAAATAAACTGTATCATAAAATAACACAATTCTCAAAATAGTTTATGTCAGCTAATCACTGAAATAGACCAAGACATTTTAAAAATTCTTATATCTTACATAATTTTTAACCAGTAAGAAGTTGCATGTCCTAGGAAAGGAATTTCATTGTACTAGAAGTATTTGCTGTCCTATATCCAACAAAAAGGATATCTTCTACTGGATTTACCTGTATTTGTGTGTGATTTTTGTTCGTCTTCTTTTAAAAATAATCTGTGAAGTTTTGAGGTATGCTACAAAGTATTTAGTGATTATATAAAAAGAGTACACATGACAAAATAACTCTTGTCTTTTCTTCCTAATTATGCTAATAAAATCATTATTATCATCACTTGTAGTTTTACAAAAAAAGGTTTCAAAATATCTTTTGTTATTTCTCTAGGCTTTCTTCAGCTCCCAAAGTAATGCTGAAAAGTAGCTCAGTATAAAAAGTAGAGTTTCTTACCTAATGCCATGCTGTAAAACTCATCCCCCAATTCGAAGTCATACTGCTGGAGTAAGAAGTCAAACAAAAAGAAAAAAATTGTATTTTGCACCCTTTCCAGAAATGTCATTCTGGTTGGAGTCCCCCAGGAGAGCAGGCACATGGAGGGTGGAACTGGGAACTGCCCGCAGTATTTCTCTATGGCTTAGCCCATGGAGAACTTCAGGGAGTGTTCATGAATGGGACTTCAAGTATCTCAGCCACTAGCTCTCCATAAATCACCACAGGGTCTGTAACCCACACATCATACTTGATTTCCCAGAGCTCCTTCATGAGTGACTGGTTGTGGACTGTATTCATACTGTGATGTCTCAAATCTTCAGTTGCACTAAGAAAGACATTTTGCAGTGTTGCTGCTGATTGCCAGAGAGGCATCGTTGGCATGACATTCACAGCTAGTTCTATAAACTCATTTAGCACATTCTCAGACTTAATTTTTCAACTGGTACAGAGATCACTTCAACACAGAAGGCTGTTGTAGTCAATGAAAATACTGTTTGAAGGAATCGAAGCTGTCACTTCTTTATTTCACTTAAGATTATAAGCTCAGTGTGCATCCATTTAGCTATAAATGTTTCTAGTTTCTCATTCTTTATGACTGAGTAATACTCCACTTTACAGAAAAATCCATCTTCTTTATCCAGTCTGGAACTGATGGGCATTTAGGTTGTTTCCAAGTTTTAGCTATTAC